CACCGACAGATTATTTTGTCTGATTTTAATATATATACTGGACTAAGCTGTAGACAGATATTATAGTCTGTACCAAAAAAAAACAAGACAGATATTACAGTATTTATTTTATGCAACAAATAATTTTAATTACATCAATTTTCTTTTCCCTTTCAATATGCAAGCACTTATCAAGACCCACATCACTTGCCTAAGTTTTTGTTTGCAGTTTATATCTCTGTCGGATAATTTTATTTATTATAATTGATTTTAAAATGAAATATAACATGATATCATGGTATAGAGTTCATTTTCTTGATTTATAGGCATGACTTGATTCAACATATATCTATAATAATGGCGGTGAAAGATCTCATATTATTTATCTCAATTCTTTGATATAATTTATATATTTGTTGAACAACTTTATTTAATATATTTTAATATGAGATCACATTATCCCTGGCCCTACCTCCACAAATATATATTCCCATCCAACCATAGATTGATCATACTAAATTCGTTTGATCATAGATTAATACTTCTCGAATGAATAGTGTAAGTGAGCTGTTATATGTCAGAAAAGTTATTGATGTGGCATTTCTTTTTTCTGTCTAGAATTACATATATATTTTTTTAAAAGTGATAATTCTATTCAAATCATAAATTTTTGGAAAAATATTACAAGGATATCTACGTTTTACTAAACATTTAAAAAATGATTGAGATAGAAAAACGAAAAATAAATAATATAATGCGATAAGAAAAATAAAAAACAATGAAGAATGTTAATTAAGTATATACACTATACAAATGTTCATGTATCATTACTCCAAAATATTCATGATACCTTACGTGAAATCAACTCTTTCAATAAAGTTTATATGGATATTATATGACATTCTAATTGAAAATCTTACTAAAGAATTATAATACCATTCAAACAAACAATCCATTGCTTAATATGGTATTTGCTTTAAAGTATATAATTATATTTTTAAGAATGAAATCTTTAAAAACAATCATTTTAAATTAAATTGATATTTGGTTAGTATTTCGCATTTCATGAATGTTATTCTTTAAATTTTAAAGGATGAAAAATGTGATAAAAAACGAGATTAGAAGTATTTTTTTTTTAAGGAAAGAGACTAAGAGTTAATAGTTGAATTATAAAAATATTTTTTTATTCTTATATTATGAAATTTTCACATTTTATTTTAAAAATAAATTAAATTAAATTAAATAAAACAATATTAATTTTATGTGAATCAATGACACATACAAATAACTTTTAAAAAACCTATATAAATAAGAAAATTTTAATATTTTCAAGCCTACTTCTTAAAAAATAATTGAATAATCCCAAATGAAAAATAATTGAATAATCCCAAATGGAAGAATATAAGGACTCATTTTGTGAAATATATGATAGGATAAAACAACAACCTTATGCCGTTATAATAAATTGTTTGGTGCACTAAAATCATGATGACCTGTGATATCGTTATTATCGCCACTAGCAATATAATAAATAACACTCATTTATTTATTTATCTATCTATCTCATTGACATCATTGTCATTATAGTTATGGTTATTATTATCATTATTATTATTATTATTATTATTATTATTATTATTATTATTATTATTGTGATCACATCATCATTATCACCATATATTATTGTCAAATTAATATCACCATTATCATTTGTTGTTGTCACTAGGGATGACAAAACAAATCAACCTGGTCTGCCAATGGCTCGCTAAAAACGAGTTGGCTTGTTATTAAAAAATGGGTTGGAAATGTTGGCCCCTTCTGTCTAAGGGTGGATTGACAAGCTAGCGGACTGGCCCGCATACCACTAAAAAAATTGCAAAAAAAAAATGTATCTTATGTTCAAATAAAAAACTACTGCAAATAAATAAATATAAACACATGAAATTAAAAATGTATACATATTGTGCATAATATATGTTCAACAAAAGCAAATTACAAACTTACAAAAAAATTAAATATAAATTAGTTCACTTACAACAAAATCAAAATCAAATTACAAACTTATAAATTACTATTTTTTAATAGGAACCTCAAATGTGGGCTGACAGGTTGTGACAGGCCAGTCCGCCATTTGACTCGACAGGTTGGCGGGGTGGACTTGACGGATTAGAATGATGGGCTCGGCCCACAATTTTTAGCAGGCCATCGGGCTGGTCCACGGGCTACGACCCATCGTTGCAATGGTGATAAAAGTAATTTTAGTTTAGTTTTTTAATCTCAAATTTCAATTTTAATTTCATAGTTGACGTTAATACGTTTTTTTTTGCTTAGAAAAACTATTTTCATATGTACATTGTCTTACAGACATATTTCTAATTTTAAAAAAAGTAATTACATAAATAAAAATACTTTTTTATAATTATATATTTAATATAATTTATAAAATAAAATACGAGGTTATAATTATATATTCATTTGAATATTTATATTTTATCCTATCATTATTTAGTTTTTATCATTATTTAAATAAGACAAAATAATGTTATCTTATTTGCATTAAATATTATATAACATTAAAATTTATTCTAATCTTATCATATATTAATATTATTTGTTATCATGTTATTATATCATGATAGATTCTTTTGTAGTTTGTAATTAAACATAACTTCACACCTATTTTATCACGATAGATTGTTTGTAGTTGTAATTAAACATGATTTCACACCTATTTTAGAGTTTAGAGAGTTCAATAATCTTATTTGGTTAGATATTTCAATAAATTAGAAAAAAGACTCATTAAATATGAAAAGAGGCCTTTCTTTTGTTATTTTCTATATATTTCATTTAATTAAAAAGAGTTTAGGAACATTTATCTTGCTTAAAAAGTTTGAAGGGAAAAAAAAGCGTACGGAATTGAAATGAGTACGGATTTATATCTATATTGTGTTTGAATGAAATAGTATATCGTTATTCATTTTCACTAAATTTCTAAATGCAAAATTGAAAATAAGATAAATGGTCTAATAATAACTATTACGATGACTATACAAGGGACTCCGTGGCCCAATGGATAAGGCGCTGGTCTACGGAACCAGAGATTCTGGGTTCGATCCCCAGCGGAGTCGAGGTTTTGCAAAAGCATTATTTTTTTTATCTCTCGCCATAAATCGTATCAGTAGGTTTGTTGCTTCAGGCAACCAAACGGTGCGTTTTGTGAGACTGATCTAGGGCTAGAAGCATAGCGTAGAGAAGACGGCGTCATTTTGCAGCGTAATAAGCATAAATTCCAAGTTTATCTGTTCCCTCCCATATCTAAGAACCGAAAAAGATTCCTTCTTGCCATCTGGGTATGTCCGATTCTGACATTTTTCATATGCTTCCGTCTCCCTAATCCCCAATATCATTTTTTTTAATACTAGTTACTAAATGTAGCATGCATGATGCATCCTGTTATATTGATGATACATACGCTCATTGTAAGTCAATCAATCTATTTCAACCGAATAGTTAATTTTGCTTACTTCTTATTGGATGTGAACACTGCTTCTGTATATATCCTATTCATTTATGGAGTAACATTTGAGTATTATGAATTTATGACGTATCTCGAGCCAACTCACCCTCATGTAAGTAATGCTTACATTTTGAAGCTCAATTATTGTTGGTCCTCCCAACTAAACCGAAAGCTACTGTGGCATATGCGTTTGGAGAAATTAGTGCAGATGGTGAGTAGTGCGAGGTCAGTTCCTGGCATCACAGTGGGGACTATGGATTCCTAGACATCTGGTTCTGCTTTATTTTCTTTTCTCTTTTCACCATCTTCCTTCTATTACGGTCTCCCACGTATACACCGAGGAATATGTGAGAGAAAGCTATGCTGTGCTATCCTCCTCTGTTCTGCAACTAGTAACTACCTTATTAAGGAGAGTTGAGGTACAGGAGAACATTGTATACAAGCTGGTGAGTAACTTCGAAGCTAGACCACTTGGCTACAACCGTACAAAGATTATTTCATGCATAATGCATTGTGCATATATAGTCAAAACTGATTGGTTTGGTAGTTACTTTTATTTGTTTACGAGAAAATAGGCTATTTACGTACATCCAATTACAAATCACAATGTATAGTGAACTTGTTGACCTTTACAATAAATAACTAAAGTCATTAAAAATGATTTCTAATTGGTTGATAATCCAGAAATGTTTTGCATTGTCAGTCAGTGAATAAGTATTAAACTCTTTGTTTATTTATTTATAGATTACAATCTAAGAAATCTCAAGAGAGTAAACGTATCCTACACAAATGATCAACGTTGCATATTTACTTGACGAATAACTTTTTAATCATATTTCAAATTTAAAGAATTCTTTGCCTGGGTTTTCTTACCCTATTTATTTTTTCTTTCCGAAGATTTTATTTATTTTTTCACTTTGAAACTCTTATATTATGATTTGAAGAAAAAATAACTTGTTTGTCGTGACTTTTGCTCAAATCATATTTTGGAAGTTGTTGTGCACCCAGGGGATTTTTATACACACATGTCTTTATATTGGTAAAATATTGCCTGCTTTGAGTCTAAGTCTTCACGGTTTTGCTTTTGGATGTCACTTAAAATGCCTCTAATCAATGGAGACAACTTTGTGTATATAAACTCATGTTCATCCTCTTGTTTGAACGATGTGAGATTTTGCTTGCATTTCGACAGGGATTCCTAGCAAAAAACCAAATACACTATAGCTTGTTCATGGATCAAGCAACCTGTGTTGTCTACTTGTCTTTATATTCTTGGTTTAATAAACTAAAATACATCAATAATCTTGGACTTGAATTGAGATACCTAGTACAGCTCAAATACAATTTTTTTTTATATTATGTATCACTCTTTAGATTTATCTGAATTATATCCAATCTTTATGTTATTTTAAAAATTACACCATCACTTATTATTATTTTCCTTCTATGAAGGGCGGGTGTTTGTCAATTTTCCCGTTTCAAGTTAAAATTTTCATCCAAATGCTGGTTTTTATGAAATCACAATATATTTCCTTATATAACTGAGCCTTGCATTTGATAACACGTGCATGCCATGGCCCATGGTCGTGCCTGGCATAGGCTTGCACTATACAAAATGTAAAATGAAACTGTGCACCAGAACATGACATGAAATGAAGAATTAAGAGTACAAACAGACTAGAAGAAGCTCTGTCACGAAACCTTCTCATATATAGTTGTCATATCTAGGAACTGCATAGTAATATTATTAGCTTTAAGAAGATTAGAGCCTCTCGTTTGATTTTGAGTTGAGTTTGCATTGCATGGTTATGGACTCCAGATAAATATAGCTCTAGCCCTTAAAAGCAACTGGGCAAGCTTGTTTTGGACGTTGAGGCTTATGAGTTCATCAGCACCACCTACAAGTTGTTGTCCAATGAACACTGCTGGTACGGTTGGGCGACAACCCAACTGTATCAGTGCCCTTTCTATCTGCTGACCATTTTCCATTTTGTCAATCTCGATAACTGTATAGCTGGCACCAAAGCTGCATATGTGAGCCTGCACAGAATGGCTAATGCTACAAGTGCTCTTGCTGAAGATCACCACCGGCTTGTCAGCAGTCAAAGTTGCCAGCACGTCCATTGCTTCAAATTCTGAGTATTTGGAAGTGAGAGTTGGTTAACTCTTAACTATGGTGCAAGTTGCTTGAAGAATTTTGGTTTTGCTATGTTAAACTTGAGTTATAGAGAAGGTCTATTTATATTAGCTTCAGCTGGTTTATTCTGGTCTGAAAAAGAATAAGTGTTCTAAAAGTTGTCATTAGTGGATTCCCAATATTCCCTTTTTGATTGCTTGATAGTAACCACCCATATGCCTTGCAAATGTGAATGAGGAGTCCCTTATTGCTGCATCATTGTATCCAACCTATATCTTGGCTATGTTAACCTTATAGCTCTATCGTTTGCAATTGCCAGTTTGTCATGGAATATTAATACATTAAATTTCAGACTGCATTGTGAAAACTATATGAGGATAAGGCTAAATCATCGAAAAATTGTTAAGTCACTAACATATTGTTAAAACAAGTGCAGGGAAATTTAGCACTATTCTGTGATTTTTCCTCGTTTTTACCTGACAGAATTCTTAGCCTCCTATTCTGTTTTACATGGAATATGGACAAGTGGAGAGGAGTTGGATTTGAAAATGCAGCAACTTCTACAGGATGTTTGGTTTCATGTTTACTAAGGGATTATATGTGATTTTTAGGCGCTACAAAGACTATTTTCTCCCTTCAACAGAGATATGATGTGCTATAAGTACCTTTCAGATTGGATTTCAAACACACTTAATCTCTTAACAAGATTAGCATAAAGTTCTAATCCCAAATACTTGAAGGCTAAGTTGAAAGATGATAGAGGAGATATTTTGAGGGAGAAGATGCTGATTTAAATGTAATATATGTCCAACAGCATTTGCTTAGTTTGGTCAATCTAGCCCAAAGATATCATGAAAATTCACACTAGGATTGCATAGAAAAGGAGAACAGAAAACGCTACCCTTGGGTGCCCACCAAAATTTTCCAATTTCCCCACATTGTACTATATAGGGAAGATGCTGAGAAGATGTTCTGTGCTTTAGAGCATATGAATTTTATCAAACAGTGGCAAACTTAGCACAAGACTCTGGCATATTCCCTTCATTCTTCTATTGTATGGATCTTATTTGATTTAGTTATTTAGCTAAATAAATATAGTATTTGATTGGTAGGCTCTAAGGTGTCAATGTTATTGGGATGTCAATGTCTTATAGTGATGGAAGTCATATCTCATCTTTATATTAAAAATAAAAGATAAAAACTTAGCATATCAATATTATGTGCTGCAAATACAAAAGTCATGGATATTAGCAGGTATTCATTATTTTCTTCCCTGATTATTTTATTAAACTTTATAAGGATTCATCACCCTTTTTTAGGCATCTTTTGTTGATTGGTTTCATTAGAAACTTTTCTAGACAACTTTAATCTTATACAGAAGCCTAATAAAGAAAGCTCAAATTCTATTTTATTGGTAAATGGTAATTCAAAGTCGTTACTTTTCTCACTTTGGAGTATTGGGAAATGTAAAAACACATCAAAGAACATAGCAAAAGTTGGATCAAGAACTTAAGGCAGCTTTGTATGTAGATAGCGCTTATGTTTGTTGGTGATTTTTTCCACGTAAAAAGTAGCATCAGATAACAATAGCGAAAATTGATAAATGATTGATTTAGTAAAGAGTAGGAGGTCATCTACTAATTTATACAATGTTGATAGTTGTTGTCATTATTTCAGTAGTATTTGTCAATGGGAATACAAAAAAAAATGTTGATAGTTGTTGTCATTATTTCAGTAGTATTTGTCAATGGGAATACAAAAAAAAAATGTGATTCCTTTGCCATTTAATTGCACTTGAAAAAGAGAAAGATGAAAGAAAGAAAAATTGAGAGTTTATCATATCAAGTTAGATTTTCTTCCAATAGGATATTACCTTTCTTTCTCGAGCATTCCATTCCAAGATAACATTAAAATTACATCCTCAAATGTGTACATTATTATTATTCATATTCTTCAAGCAACAGAATTTTCCACGTGGCTACAGCATGGAAAAACAACCCTGTGTCTCCTTGTCCCAAATTCTATATCTTTGAGTGTTCCATAATTCACATAAACGGCTCAAAAATAAAGCGAAAGGTCACTTGGTCCTCATAATGTTGTCATTTGAACTATCCAAGTGACTATCTGAAGACAGAAGATTACAGCGACTAAAATGTGCATAAGCATCAAATCACGACATTATCTTTTCTTTTATCTTGAATAATATTTTAGACTGTGCTTTGGTATACAGAATATGGTGTTCATAGAATGAAATTTATTTCAATCAGTCTACGTAGAATGCAATATAGTGTACGTATCCTGATTGGATTGGAGTCCACATAGCATAAAAGCAAATGTTAGTGTCTAGTGCAATTTCATCTATACTTATTTGAAGAGGTAAAATTGATGAAGAGAAAATTTATAAAAGCCGTAAACTTTAGGTTATCAAACACAGTTGCTCTACTATACTACTTAATGCTCAGTGTCATATTTTTGTGAACTAAATGCTAAGCACCTTGATACATGCATAACTTTTCATATAACTTGGAAAATGAATCTTAGCATAGTGGAAACTTGCAAGTCCACAAACTTTTGGTTTTCTAATTATTTTTACCATCCTTCTTAATTAGAAAATTTTGAAACTTCTTCTAGGCTTCGTATAATCTTTAAAAGCCTTAAAACTTGTGAGGCTTGTGAAGCAGAGAATCTGGAGACCAAAATCCTGTATGATAACAATTTTTGAAATGATTTTGTTTTTTAAAAAAAAAAAAAAAAAACTTTTTGAGTAGCTACTTTTTAATAACTGTTTTTCAATCTTATTTCTTGTTTAATAGTTTTTAAATTGAAAAACAGAAACAAGTAAACAACTACAGATTACTATTTCTATTTTCATTTATGATTTTTTTTAATTCTATAAGTAAGGAAAGATTCGGATAAGGAAATAGAAACAAGGGAACATATTCTCAAAATAAATTTACCCGAGTAGTTATTATGGTTTTTCATCTCTAAGGTTATTTTTAAATTAATACTTACTAAGCAAGTTTTATTTCTTATATTGTTCTAAAATGTAATTCTTCAAAATTATTTTACTGTAGAGTTTCTGAAAATGAAAAACTAAAACACAATCTAACAGGTCATAGAATCCTCCAATGCTTGCTTTGGCAAAGTAGTTAGAGACTTACGTAGCTAGTGAAGCAGAGCTCCAAATTTTTGTTTGTCCTGGACAGGCACAATTATTAACATACATAATAATAAATTTCATTATTCTAGATACTGGTCAGTGAAATTTGCTGAATGCCAACCCTTAGATGTTCATACACTTGAAAGATGGTGAACTGATTGTTCAAGTTGTAAATTCAATTGAAATGCTTCTTCCTTGGGCTCTTATTCCAGTTAGAGTCCAATATTAACTCTAGCATTTGAATTCTCCCTAAGTGGAGAAGAGAATGTTTAGGTGTTAAGTGAGTTAACATAAATTTTGATCACTTTATTTATTATTATTTTTATATACATATCTAGACTATAATTAGTCCTGCTAGAGTTGATTAGAATTTATACCAAAATTCTTCTTTAAAAAATTTAATGACACTGCGTATTTAACACTCAAACTCATAAAATAAAAGTGTTGAAAACATATTTTTTCAACATCTGGCATGTAATACGGAAAAGAAAAAAAATATCTATTTTTCACTTCTTTTATCTAGACAATCACCTTTTTAATCTAATAAAACAATCATGGTTTCAACCACAATACAAGAGTAATTTATCTAGAATCATCTTTAACAAGCGAAACACTTGATCAAAAGAAGATTGAATTGATACCCGTCAATTCACTTTAACCTTTTGCCGTACTAGGGAAGCATCAAATTAGTTTTTGTTTTTCATTAGAAGGAATTGAACTAATTCTTCCAAATGTTGAAGTGCGTGTTTGTATTGGATTCTAAACGTGAATTTTTACGTTTGAGTAAAAGTAACAGATAATAGCTTCAATGTAAAATCATTGTTGGACATAGAGAGAGGAGCAAAAATTGCTTTTCAAAATGAAATCCAAACACACGCTAAAATGTTAGGAAAACACGTGTCTTTTGCAACCTGGCTGGAATTATCCTACTTTGTGAGAATGGGGCGGTGAGGACTGAATTATTCACTATAGTAAAAAAGGCACCAAGGAAAAAGAGAAGAAAAAAAAATGGAACCAACGAAAAGTTTAACAGTGATAACAATATTGAGAGTTTTCTAGGTTGTTATGATGTCCTGTGCACATCCTTTCCAAGTCATTAGATTAGTACATTTTGATTTTAACAACACTGTACTGTGCTAGCTGAAGAACTTCTTTTGTTTTTTACAGGTTTTGTTCATCATGCGTTCATATTTAATCTGAACAACTGCGGCACATCATCATTCAAAAAGGAAAAGAGAAAGATGAGGAATATAAACATTTGTCTGTAGGGTCGCGCATGCTAATTATTGCACAATAATACATATACACGTTGGTATGCAACAGATTGATGTTCCATAATTCAATGTTTTTTGTTCAACTGATATATTTTAGAAATCACAATTTCAAATATCATAGCATGCATAAAGTATATTTCTGTCATTGTCGAAAATTGCATATTCTCAAGTGATATGATTTAAGATTTTATCAGAAATAACTTATAGACCTTTTTGATTTGTAACATAGCTGCAAGCTGAGATGAAGTTTCAAATACATAATGTTATAAGTCCTTCATATTACTTAAATATATGTCATTGCCTCATTGCAGCCCAATGCTTTACCAGCGTAAATGGTATCTTTGGACCTTCCTGTTTTTGCTAAAATGGAAGAGATGAACATAAAATAATAATAATAATAATAAAAAGAAGCCAATAAAAGCCATAGCATGCCAAATGTTTATATTTATATATTCTTTTAAAAAAGGAAGTCACAAGAGCTGACATCTGCACTAGCTAGAAGAAGAAAAATATGAAACAAATAAAGTTTAAGATGTCTAATAGATGGACCACCATGACTTTATTTTAATCAGATCAGAACTATATATAGAAATGCCCAAATGTGAACTAGGCTTGTATAACCAGCTAGCCAGACTTCGAAATCTTTATTCAGTTGACATTTCACTGTTCTTGTTTGGTAGTTATAATATACTATAGAAACAACTTTTGCTTCAAATCCATATAGCCCTAGCATTTATGAGCAGTGGTACCAACTCATTCCTAAGATGCAGGCTCATGACTCTCTTAGACCCACCAATGAATTGTTGTCCTATAAACACAGTTGGTACACTTGGCTGGCACCCCATTTGAAGCAGTTCCCTTTCTATCTGCTGTCCATTTGTCATTTCATCAAGCTCATAGACAGTAGGGTTTGCCCCAAAGCTACGAATCAGTGAGGTGATGGAGTGGCTCAAGCAACATCTGCTCTTGCTAAAGATCACCACAGGTTTTTCAGTAATCATGCCTGTGATTAGGTCCATGATTACCTAGAACATTTATATGATGAAGAGTTTTTGAACTTGGCCGTGTGGAAACTGAGCCACCTTTAAGAGCTATATATAATTTGTTTCATAGTGGTGGGGATTGCATTGTCGCCTCATATGTCATAATAGGAAAAGAATAAGATCGTTGTAGAAAATTTCCCTGGATTCCCTATATTTGTGCTTTTGTATTGCATCAATTGCATTTGCATGTGTTGTATTGGTAACAAGTTGCCTATTTGTTGAGGTAAATCTAATGAATCCAACACTTGCTTCAAGAATAAGATCCATGGTCGTGCATGAGGCATATTTTTTTTTTGTCCACATGCGACTATTTATGCCACATCTCATCATCACAGTGATATAGTTTGTAATACTCTAAATGTTTTCAACTCACATACTAGCTAGTTTGTGTTGTATTTGATGAACAGACAAAATTGAACTAAAAAAACAAAATCACAGAATTAGATCACTTCCTCGTGTGTAAGATTGAAGACATGCACTGTTATAACCCCAGAACATGAAATGACCAGCCAGCATTAACAACATTAAATTAAAGAAAGATAATTTTAGGACTATGACTTGAAGCGTTAAGAGTTTTGTTCGTTCTAACTTGTAAACCCGTGTCTTTCCATTTATCTATGAAACTAGTATACATGTTAGAATTTGAGATTTTTATTTTATCTTTAACAGTAAATATTGTCTTGTCTTGTTTTAGTGATTATTTGCAAGATTAGTTAAAGATTACTTATGTCGGAAAAAGAAAGTTGTAATTGCTTACAAATGATATTTTTAAAATTAATCATAACTTACCTTTTGTTTTACTCAATGAGGGGTTTCGTATATAGTTTTAAATTTTAATATTTTAACTCTTGTAATAGTACAAAACTGAGTCAATAATCAAAATATATTATCAATTTTTACTCCCCTTTATATCTTAGAGTTTGTTGGTTTTTTTTCCGAAGTTCTTTTAGTAGAACGTTCGATACTAACTTCTGATAGCAATAGAGAGTGTCCAATATTAACGATCCACTAATTTTCTGTTCAGTTTTCTAACAGTATACAACTATACATAATTAAGGTTTTTTTTTTGTTTGATGTATAAATGAACTATACCAACTCAAAGCTAACATTTCTATTGGAATCCTCACTCAACTCAACCATAGTTTCACGTTCCTTTAGATCTTGATTACTTGATAAGGGGAATATATGATAAAATCGGTTAAGGAAGAGACAAAAATAAAAAAGGAACGAAAATATACGAAAAAAGTGGTGGAAGAGCGCGTCAAGGGCACTATACAGAAGCAGCGGACGTTTTTCAGCATACAGGATTGGACCACAGATTAAGGTTGCTGTACATTATCTGTCACCATCTGGTTGTTGCTATTTAGACTATGCTTAACTTTTTCTGAGATGCCAAGGAATACTTATATTCTCCTGATTATTTGTGGTTACGTTTAAAGTTTAAACATGAGAAAAATATGGAGTTCTATGTGGATCAAAATATTAGATAATGGTCGGCATACACACTACTTGAATTTATTACAATGATAAAATGTGCAAATCAATGTCAATAGATTCTTTTAAGAGAATAGTACTTAATCTGCACGTGAAAACTTTTAGTGTCAGTGGTGAATCTGTTTATATGTTAAATCTCGCGGCTATTGCTTGACTTACTTCTACATAGTTTTCATCGTGTCTGCATACACACTACTTGAATTTATTACAATGATAAAATGTGCAAATCAATGTCAATAGATTCTTTTAAGAGAATAGTACTTAATCTGCACGTGAAAACTTTTAGTGTCAGTGGTGAATCTGTTTATGTTAAATCTCGCGGCTATTGCTTGACTTACTTCTACATAGTTTTCATCGTGTCTCCATTACTATATATCATTATTGGAACATTATTTTATCATGTACTAGAAGAAGAAAAATATGGGAAAAAAGAAAAAGAAAAAGAAAGAGTGAAATTTAAACTGTCTAATAGATGGACCACCGTGACTTTATCTCTAATCAAAGAACTATGCAAATGTTCGAATGTGATAACTAGATAATTAGGCTTCAAAATCTTTATTCAGTTGACATTTAAGTGTTCATGTAAACATTAATCAGAAATGCTCTTTCAATCTGCTGCTTTAATGCACGTGTTGTATTGATAACAAGTTGCCTATTTGTCAAGGTAAATCTAATCTATCCAAGATATATATTCAACAGAGTAAGATTCATATAAGGTTGTGCATGGGAACATAGCATATATTATTTCTTTTTTCCGTGTCCATCTAATTATGCCACATCTTTGATAACACGAACGATTTTGAATTAAAAACAAAAGCATATGATCTCAGATCACCTCCTTGGATGAAGATTGAAGACCTGCATTTATGTTATAACCCAAAAACAAGAAATGACCGGCCTGCATTAACATCATTAATTTAAAAATGATCGATCATATAAGAGTTTGACTTGTAGTGTTGAAAGTAAAGGTTTTGTTTGATTAGAATGACACTGAGAGGAACAAAAATAGTAGACTAATGCTTGACAAGTTAAAAAATAAATAAATAAAAAGGTAAGGCATCATGTCAAGATACGCACATATATTGTTAAAATTAAATTGCATTCTTAATTAAGGTCGATGGAGGCTAGAACAATTTGGCATATATGAGACTGCAAAATTGTTCTTATAACTTGTAAACACTTGTGTTGTTCCGTTTACTTTGAACCATTGTTAAACAAATCTCACATCAATAAAATAAAATAAGAAATAACAACTTATATAGCACAAACATACTTCAATGATCGAGAGGCCTAAATGTTTGCTTTGGGCCTAAGCCCTCACAGTTTTACTTTTAGTCATTACTCAAAAGGCCTCTCGATCATTAAAGTATGTTTGTGCTATATAAGTTGTTATTTCTTGTTTTATTTTCATGCAGCGGAATCTGTCTTTATATATCACATTATCATTATCATTTTTTTTATAATGGTTATTGGTTGTCACTGAATCCAACATGCGGCTCTGATACTACTAATGAGGTTATTTTATGGTATTTGTTTGAGGAGATATTTCATGATGGTTATTTTTATAAGGTTATTACACAAGTATACTCCACAATGATGAGATATTGTCCGCTTTGAACTTAAGCCCTCACGGTTTTGCTTTTGGTCATCACCCAAAAAATCTCTCAATCATTGAAGTATGTTTGTATTATATAAGTTATTATTTTTTGTCTTATTTTATCGATGTGAGACTTGTTTGTATCCTAACATGTTTGCATGACTATGTATGTTTTTCTTCTTCTTAGATTTGTAACTAGAAACCCCACAACTCAACCACAGTGTCACGTCGTTTTAGATCCGTAATTGTTTGATTAGAGGAATATATGGTAAAAGCGATTAAGGAAAATACGAAAAGTAGAAAAGGAATTAATGAAGAATGGGGAAAAGTGGTGGAAGAGTGTGTCAAGGAGAAGCCTGTTATTCCTGTAATATCTCCGTTGGGCCTTCATTGCTATCGTTATTGGTCACCACATATTGTCATATACCAGTCGTATTGCACACATTGGGTAGTAGTGTACGATGGGCCTAATTCCAGGCCCATTCTAATTTCTAATACAACCCTTCTGCCATTAATAAATCAATAAATGTATATAGAAAAAAATTCATTAACTGAAGACATCTGATAAGCATAAGGAATAAATTATTAAAGATTTAATAAAAGTATAAATAATAATAATAATAATAATAATAATAATATTCAAACATTACCATTATTATAAGCCAATGACTTGTTTTGATTTAAAAAATCAAACATATAAATAAAAATCAATTAATTTGAATAATATTTAAACATCTTCAATTAAACAAAAAAAATTGCGATCACTATTTTGATATAAATAAGTTAAGATCATTACTAAGTTGCAATATTAATTACATATAAGTTGGAAGAAATTTCAAAAACCACATAAGAATGAAAAATAGACAAAAGTAAGGGTAATTTTTTTTTTTTTACTATAATCAAAGCGTTTTCTTTTAGTCATTGGATATTTTCAAATCATTAAGACAGTAGTTAAAGATGACAAATAAATTTATATCCATTTTGAATTTGACAAAAAATACTTGATTTGATTAGATATGGATATAGATATGAGTAATATCCGATTTATTAAATTGAATACGAAAATGAAAATGAGTATATACTTATCCGTCTCATACACTTATGCTCGTATCCATACCCGCTTCAAATTTCTAAAAAATTTATTTAACATTTATATAATTTTTACACTATTTTAAATTTATGCCAAATAAAACTTAATTAATATAATTTGATAATTACTACTCAATGTTGAAAATCTTGTTTTTTAAATATATTTTTTACAAAAAATATTTAATTAAATTTTAGGCAGGGATACGAGTATACCCGATATCCAATAAGGATAGAAATGAGGACACAAATTTTATACCTATTAGATATGAACATGATATATTCACCTTATTTTATTGTCATCCCTACCAATGATTAAATATATTCATAATATTGTAACTATTGGTAATTCATGAAACATAAAAATGTAATTATTTTTTTGAGCATAATTTAAATGTGTTATGATATAGTGATATTAATATATGTTTTTAATTTAAATTAATAATAAAAATTACATGAATTAAAATGGTTTAGCCTTTTGTTTTTTTTAATTAAAGTGCAAAGATAAATTACAAACATTTTAATAACTTTAATTCATCATTCAGTTTATAAATTATAATGTAAATAAATAAGTCAATTTATAAATATTCTATTTAATATTTAGTTAAACTTTATAAAATATAAAATACAATTATAAAATTGTCAATATTGATAAAAATGTTAGAAACGTTTTCAATGCTGAAACACTTTTTATTATTTTTGGGAAAAATATATGTTGAACAAAATAGGCTTATTGAAAAAGATTGTGCAAACAATATTAATATTAGTCTTTCACAATAAAATACTTTTGTGAGGGAAACATATAATAGCTTGCATTTGAAGGTATAAAGATTTGAACTGATGGCGATCATACAATGTGGAAATCAATGTCAATGGATTCTGTTAGTGGAAACTGAGTACTTGATCTTCATGTGAAAACTTTAGGTATGACAGTGGTGAATCTGCATATTTATGTCATCAATCAGCTATTGCTCCATGCAGTTATCTCTTCT